AATCATTTTTCTCCATTGCGTACTATAAAGTGTCATATTTTCATTTAGTTCTAATAAATTAAGATCATTTTTTATACAATAAGCTCAAGTCTTCCTAGGTCTATCTCTGTCTTTCTTAACATAAGTTGAATCTAAAACATCTACTCTCCTAATCAGATCATCAGATGGTCAAAGTTTAATGTGACCAAACCATCTAAGATGACTTTCTCTAATCTTGTTTCTCACAGGAGCTACACCAACCCTATCACAGATATATTCATTTCGCATTTTGTCTTTAATTGTAAAGCCACTCATCCACCTAATCATTCTCATCTCGGCAACACTTACCTTAGTATTAGGCTTATTTTTTAAAGGCCAAAGGCCAACATTCAGATCTATAGAGCATTGCAGGTCTCACCACTGTCTGATAAAATTTTCCTTTCAGTTTAAGTGGTACTTTTCTATCACACAAAAGGCCCGGAGCATTCCTCCACTTCAACCAACCAAGTTGAATTCTACTATTAACATCTCCATCTATATCACCATCGCTTTGAACAACAAACATGAGATATCTAAATCGTTCACACATTTTAATAATTTGATCACTCAAAGTTACACTTCTGTCACTAGAGCTACTACTACTAAAATTGCATTGTATGTATTCATTTTTAGTTCTACTCAAATGAAGGCCTTTAGACTCCAATGTAGACCTCCATAATTCAAGTTTTTCTTGGGCTTTTACTCTCGTCTTATCCACGAGAAGGATATCATCAGCAACAAGCATATACCAAGGTATATCCTCCATTAAATGTCCAGTAAGCCCATCCATAACTTAAATAAAAAAGATATAGGCTTAAAGCCGATCCCTCATGTAATCCAACATAAATAGGAAAATATTTGGTCAATCCTCCTTCAATTCGAACACAAGTAACAACTATAGTATACGTATCTTTAATTACTTGAATATAAGTCATATCAACACCTTTCTTATCAAGAACTCTCCAAAGGATATCTCTAGGAACCTTATCGTAAGCTTTTCTGAATCAATAAAAATCAAATGTAGATTCTCTTTTTATCTCTGAACGTCTCCATCAAACCTCTCAATAAATGTAAAACTTTCATGGTAGACCTGCCCGACATAAATCCAAATTGATTATGAGAAATCTTTGTAATACATCTTAAATTATGTTCAATTACCCTCTCATATAATTTTAAAGTATGACGTATCAACTTAATTCCTCTATAATTTACACACTTTTGTGCATCCCCTTTATTTGATTTGACTATGGATTCTTGTTCGACGTTACATAATTCAGCCGACGATCACTTGAGAAATATGTTGATCTTGCTCTAGGTGTTTTTCTTATATTCCTTCCACGGGATTCAACTTGGGCTGCTCAAATTGTTTATCGAGGGTCATTTTTGCCCTTTCAATCAATTTTGCCTTCTACCTGTATACCACCCAAAGCTTTCATATAACGTTAAAAATATCAAGATTTTAAGTGAAATACATATTTTCATGCATAGACAAGGTGGTATGTATGTAAAAGTTGAAGTTTAGGTGTTAGATGTGTCAATACTTTGGAATTGAGTGGTATTTGTACAAGTCTTCCCATTCTAAAATAGATGGTTTTTGCTATTTATTATTGGGTTTTGGTGTTCCTTTTCTTTAGAAACATGCCTATTTGTTACTCTTCTAAACTATTTATAGTAAGCCATAAACAATGAATTACAATGTCTTTGGGTTAGTTCCTTATTGCTTTGCAAATGCAATTAGTGTATTTTTACTGTTCTGTTGTGTTATTTTTGCACTTCAGATTTAAATGAAATGTATTGTGTTCTTATTTGCAAATTTTTGTTGTGGGAATCTATTTATTGTAAACCGATCAATTAAAGTATGTTGCCGTAATAAAACTGTTGTCTAAATTTTTTTAAAAAATAATATTTATAGTTTCCACCGTAATTTTTTAAGAAATTATTTTTTTCCAAGAAATTATTTTTCTCATCACAGCTTTACAATCACTTTTATAAAATGCTACAGCTGCCCTAAGCAGGCCCTAAATGTACCTCTGCCATGCTATATTGTCATATGCTTGAGAAACATTTTTCTTTTAAATTTTTGCAGATTTGGCCATACCTATCACAATTTGCAGTCCAGAATAACTAAAACACTGCTTCATGCTTTTCTTGATCCAACTAAAGCACTGACCCAACATTATGGCGCCATTCGAGGGCTCTCTGCACTCGGTCCCAGCGTGGTGATTTCTGTTCTCCATATCTGGCTAACTTGATTCCTGCTTATATTCACATACATGCCGCCCAATTTCTATGTATGTACATATATAACACCTAAAATTTACTTTTTTACATTTATACCACCCAAATCTTCAATATCACATAAAAAAAATCACCATTTTTACTTTTAAAAAGTGAGATACATCTTTTCATGTATAGGTAAGGTCGCATGTATGTAAAAAACTTGGATGTTTAGTTATTAAATATGTAAGGGAAATTTACATATGCAGCACACAATTAATTCGTCTTTACATATCTCACACCTAAACTTTCATATTTACATACATAGCACTTTAGTGCTTTGAAGTTATGCAATGAAAGATGTATTTGACTTTTTAAAAGTGACAATAGTGCTATTTTTTATGTGATGTTACATATGTGAGTGTTATGCGTGTGAATATAAAGTTTAGTTGTTCAATGTGTAAATTCATAGGAATTGTATGCCATGTATGTAAAGGCCCTGATATGTAAATACATAAGATTTGAGCGGTATGTATGTAAATCTTCCTATATTCTATTTAACAATTATGCATTACTGCTTGCTAGGTGCGCCTTCTTATTTTACCTAACCTGGAGACATACCTACAACTTCTGGAACCAGAGATGTTACTTGAAAAGCAGAAGAATGAGATGAAGAGGAAAGAGGCTTGGCATGTCTATGGTGCCTTAATGGTGCGTTTAATTTGCATTTTAGTCTGTAGAGATTTTTGAATTAGGGAATAATTTATTTGAATTTTCTTCATCCAGAAGTTATTATAACATTAAACATGCAATTTCCAGGGTGCTGCAGGAAAGTGTTTGTATGATCGGCTTAAAATGTTTCCAGGCATGTTATCTCGACCGAACCGGTTTATTTGGAAACACAAAGGAAGAGTTGTGACAACCATGCCAAGTGAGACGTACTAAATTTTTTCTTGTTCATTCATAACTTTCTCTTTCTTATAAATCTTTGTCCGGTGTGTAAAAATCTATAGCAAATAAAGTAAGTGGCTCCATTTTAAGTAGGAGGATAGTTTGTGTCTTTTCGAAAAATATAGGATGAGGATGTTGACCTCTATATCTATTCCATAAGAGGGATTATGCGGACATGGTGAAAACGTAGAGATTGAACGTGCAAGTACTAATTAAGTCGAAGTGCTTCGACAACCATCAAAGTGTTCTAAACTACTCCCGTTTAGGGAATGGATTGCATGAATGCATCCGGGGCATCAAAGTTATGCAAGAAGGTACATGCTATGACCAAAATGACCAAATTTGATGAACCTTTGTCCGTTTTCTAGTTCAACTCTCCTTTACTGAACCTTTTCCATCTTCCCTGCAGTTACCACATTTGGCCCCGCTGCTCTCTCCCTTTCTCATTCCCCTACATCAGAAGCACCCCTAACTCTTCCTCTCAGCACAGTCGCACAAGCCCTTGCCAAGCACCCCTAACTCGTTAACACTTACCCGAAACTCTCCACTTCTCTTCTCCCCTACACAATCATCCAGCAATCCCTTATACCCAACCCAACAACTTCTGCCCACTGCTCCTCCTCTCAAGCTCAAACGACCAGTTTGAACTCGACGTTTCATAGTTATCTATCCTCTCATGCTCTAGAATCACATAGCTGCTTAGCTCTGCCACTCACCTCACTGAGCCCAGTCCACCATCCCAATCTCTTGCTCAGCCTCCAGTCCCACTAACTGAACTCCCCAAAGCTGCCCTTACACTTCTATCGAACTCTCTGCAGCATATCACCTCAATTTTCTACTCCACACATGACACAAAATCCACCAAGTTACCCACAACTCTTCCCTCTTAGGCTCGCATGATATTGGTTGCGCTCCCGCAGCTAGTCCTTCCTCGTCTTTAGTTACTCTCAAACCTCTGTGCCTCTGCAATCTTCAATGGTTGCAAATTCCTTTGCGGCTCTAGCAGGCCGCATATATAGCTCCTCTTCACCACCTGCATTATACTTATGTCACTTCTGCTCTCCCAACAAACTCAAACTGAACCTCCTAGATCTGCCGCTTGCTACTCCTTGTCATCTCAAATCCGACCAACTCTGGCCAAGTCTTTAAACAATAACAAACGTCACACAACCCAACCCAACAGCTTAGCTCCTCAGTTTAAACAATAATCACACAACCCAACCCAACAGCTTAGCTCCTCAGTTCCCCATAAACCGAGCTCCGTCAACCATATCTTATAGAAGCCCGCCTCTACATTCCTGCAACATCAACCCAAATCCATCTCCCAATCAGTTCTCTTTCTCAGTAGAGAAATTTCTTGCCTCGTTTTCTTTCTCTAAAAAAAGGAAGAGCAAAAAAATTAGAAAAAAAATATATGTATTTATACTTTTGCCTCACAAGTTTGCCATTTTGTCTCCACATTTATCGCCTCGCACAAAGATATATACACAAGGAATTTGCCTGCTATAAATACCCATTCAAGTTATTCCAACACGGAGAGAAAATCTTGGTAGTTCTCTCATGCATGTACCTGAAGGCTGCACATGAGATTAATTGGGCACATGCCCTTGAGGGGGCTTCTTACTGATAGGTGGGATCATAAGTTTCGCCTCAGCTATATTGATCATTCTCTTGACAAGAGCTTGAGTTGAAAAGCTAGATTCTAATTTTAGCCGGTCAGATCCTCCCGATAAGAATTAGAGTTGACAAGACTGAGTCTTTAACAAGCTACTCCAATATTCCTCACAATGATAGGATTGACAGGACTATTGCTTTAATGATATTCAAGCAATAAAATTTGACAAAATTATAAATATAAATTACCAAATAATTTTATCCCAACGATGATCACGTTGATTGTAGATCTTAATATTATGAGTCTATTTTCAAAGTCTAATTACTCAATTACAAGTATAATTGTTTCAAGTAAACAGCTTGATGTTGTCTGCATTGAAGGTGAATTTCAATTGAAAGTATTTATTTTGAAAATTAAGATCAAAAGAATATTTATATAAACTCAATTGATTTAGATTATGAGCTTAATCTTCTATAAGCGAGACAATAGGTGATAATGTTTAAAATCACATAAATTTCTTGATAATGGTCTTGTTGATTTAAATTTAATTTGAAGGGAATTTATTTATAAGATGCTTTCAAATTCTATAAATATTTTTTTCATAAAAAAATGTTCAATTCAAAATGATCGATTGAATAACATCGTCTAAAGCTTAGAATAAACTTTTATCTATCATTCGTAATTGTTTTTCAATGGTGATAAATTTGATTTTAACTTAAGCTCACATAGAACCAATATCATTATATGTATGCTATTACATTGACACTCAAAATAATCTCATATTAGTAAAGATATGTCCTGAGTTTCACTATATTACAATCACGACTATAATGCTTGTATATTCCCCAATGATTTTTTGTCCTTCAATTTGTGAATTATATTATATAGCTGGTAAAGCGCAAATTTTTTTTGTTAGCTAAGGATGATTCAAATTTATTCTCTTAGATAAACATCCACTTTAGATATATAAGATCCTCTTGGACAAACAATCCATAGCTACTAATAAGGATCTTTCTACCTGGTTGGGTTGAGTACTTCCTCTACCCAAGGCTTTGTTTGGCACAACTGGACCTTTTCAACTTCTTAGCTGCAGCTGTGCTGCCCCAGAAAGTTGCTGTGAGGAAGCTGTTATAGGGAAACTAACTGCATGTTTGGGGCACAACAACTGCTGGGCAGCTGTTTCTGTAAAAATAATCATTCTGCCCATGTTTTGTGATGTTGTGCGTAATAGAACTGTGATAGCGATAAATTTAATACTTTTAAAGCAAAAGCTAAAATTGTTCGTGCTCTGTGGTATGAATGATTTGGCTGGTATAAATGTAAAACCTAAAATTTAACCGTTAGACAATTAAATAGTTATATGCTAATAACACTCAACTAATCAATTCAGTATATTCAATCAAACATTAGAAGTTGTCAAAATAATAAAATGATAAATTTTTCCTCAAAAAAATAAAATAAAATATAGAAATTGTCAAAATAATAAAATGATTGCACGTCACCTATATATGTAACTCCACTAAAAAATTTTCTAAGCTCCAAAACTACCAATGTTAGCCACCAGCCCACCATACATAAATTTGAAAGGCGCATATATTCCTCTTAAAATTGTCTTCTAAGTTCAATAATTCAAGCATCATAACAACTACATAACTATCCTGAAAATATTGTTGACAAAAATACTTCATCAATCACTCCATATCCTTTTCAATAATTTGGAATTCGTTAGAAAGATATCTCAATTGTTCTATTCAAATATCTTCAAATCTCAAAATGAATTGTTCTATTCAAATATCTCCTAATCTCCAAAAGTTAAAAAATGTCTCTTTAATCCAAAGCATTTATGTTTGTATAAACATTGTGTGCTTCTTTTCCCAATAAATTTTCATTTGCAAAATTCACAAAATATCATCTCAAAACTCAATTATCTTCATTCTAAATGCACTTAATTCAATCAAAGCATATATACCACTTTTCGTTGCCATCTTCCGATGGTTTTTTTTTTTCCTTGCTTACTACCAAGCAATTTATATAAAAATCAAAAGGGGCAACTTTAGTCATTTTTTACCATCATCCATGCAAAATTTGGCATCAATGCATAAATAGAAAAGTAAGAGTGTCAAGATAATCATTTTACTCATTGTAGGGGGTCATTTTAGTGTCAAAATCCATAGAATTGTCAATTTAATCCCATAATCTTTTAATATGGGCTGAAATAGTATCCACAAATGACTATTTTAACTTCAATTTTAAGAGTCTAGGGACTAATTAGACGGTTCTATAAACTCTGGGACTAAAATGACTTCATATAAATAGTTAGAATACTATTTTGCACTGTACTCCATAAAGAAGATGAGCCCAAATATAATGATAGATAAATTTTATGCATGAATCATACTTTGGCACATAGAGAAGTATCCCCTACTCTTATCTACCCTTGCTTACTTTCTCATAATACACTTTGAACATCTGCTGCTAGACAATTCCTTCAAACGCAATCATATCCATAAGAACAATCTATCTCCATCAAAACACTCAATTACTCATTCTAGAACAGCTCTTCTGATTCCACTGTTAGAATTTCTGAGGAAGTTTCTTTAAACCCTAGCTTTCTTCTACCACGCACTAAAGGAAGATAAAACAAGCTCAGATCAAACGCGAAGCAAGGATGTTGGATCTTCCGCAAGAATTCAAAACAAGGCCACATGGGAGAAGAAGAAGAAAGTCATGCAAGGAGAAGATTTCGCACCTGTAATTGGGGATCACGCTCGAAGACAACTCTCGAGCCCCTTGTTCACAGGGAGTGTTCGCGAGACACCATCGCACCTGCATTTTCGTTAAAATGCGAAAACTTTTGCCGCGCGCTTTGCCGCTGCCGCTCCAAACGACGCAAAATTGCGTCTACCTGCCACGCCGGCCCTCCGGCGCTGCCCCAAATGGGCCCTAAATAGACGCAGGTCCATGATAATACGGGGTGACAAAACTATATGATATTGATCGAGTGGCATATTGCTCTCATCATTCATATAAGCTCGTGATAATGAGTTTTTACAATCTAAAATTAAATTGTTGCTACTTTACAGTGAACAATCACTGCTCTAATGAGTAGGTATAATTGAAATTATTCTTCCGTTATCAGGTGAAGTAATTAACTACAGAGACTTGCGCTTATAGAAACCTTGTATAGGAAATCTTGACCTTAAATCTTAAAGTTTTTGCAAAATGAGGGCAAAATCTTTGGTATTGTCTCATACTCCTTAAAATTTAATCCGGAATGTTAAAGTAAACTTCTCTTATTCATCATTCGTGGGAGGCTAGAGCAAGAGTTTTCGGAGCCTGCAGATGATTTCCGGCCTTTTTAATGGATGCATTGTCTATAATAGTGTTATTTTTTAAGTGATTTTAAAGATTTGTGTGTTGTGTGTAAATATGAAAGTTCAGGTGTCAGATTTGTAAATACATAAGAATTGTGTGCTATGTATATAAATGACCCTAATTTATGTATTTACATATATCTCACACCTAAACTTTCATATTTACATACCTTGCACTTCGATGCTTTAGAGCTATGCATGAAAAATTGCATTTATGCTATTTTTGATGTGATATTAAAGATTTGAGTGCTATGTGTACAAATATGAAATTTAAGTTGTGGGATTTGTAAATATATAGGAACTCTGTGGTAAATAGTAGTTATGTAAATGCCCTATATTCTATTGCTTATTCATCTGAATCTCTATTTCTGCACTATATTAGTCTGCCTCCATGTGTTTTTTATCTGATTGAAACCCTAACTAAAATTCTTCGTTGACTATAGACGGCAATAAAAGAAAGTCACTCGA